GTTTGGAAGCTTGGCCTTGAATGGCCAGAGGATCAGAAAGAACAAAAGGAGCGCTCTGCATAGAAACAAAGGGTTAGCATAAAGAAGATTGCATAGTCAATTTAAAAAGGCATTGAGTAAGATTTACCTTTTGTTCATCAGAAGTTGCATTGCTACCAATGCGTTCTGAAATTACATTCTTCCAAGACTGAGACTTCTAAGATCCTTTGGATTTCACCTTGGGAGCAGTCACATTCACTTTGCTTTTTGAAGGATTGGCAAGTTGGGAACCTTCGCCAGATTTGTTGATTTTCTTTTTCTTTTTTCGTTTGAGAGGGGAAATGTCTTCATCTTTTTCTGATTCATTTTCAGAATAGGCACTATCGTGTTTTCGTTTCTTAGGAGACTTGGGAGGTAATCCACTCGCCTGGAGAAATGAAGAGAATAATTAGTCAATTTAAGAAGTAATTTCGACAATAAGAAAAGAGTGAGCGAAGTATTACCTTTTTCTTTTTTGAGGAGTCATCTTCTTGGTCAGAAGGAGGATTCTCAGTAGTGGTTATTGGCACTTTCAAAGAAGAAGTTGAACCTGCCTTAGGTACAACTTTATCCTTTTTCAAAGATTTTAGATCAACAGCTGAAAGGAATATGAAATGGTCAAGTTTAAAACAAAGTTTAGAAAGAATAAGGGAGCTTAGAATTTCTTCAGTTCCGCACCTTCGCCGTTTTGAGACGTGATAGACATGGCTGACAAGTCATAGCAAAGGTGCCCCCTGAAATTGTCTAAATCACGTTTAGCCCATGTTACCCTTTGGGCAGGTTTTTTGGCATCATTTTCACAGAAATGAAAAATGTTCCCACAAACGAACCACCAGGGATACGGAGGAAAAAAGGCTAAAGCCAGCTCTGAAGTAGGTAGGTTTGGAAATTTTGGTGTTTGATGTTTAAAAGCTCACCAATACTTATCTTCAGGTTTTACATAAGGAGGAAATCGAATTTTTGAAAGTTGTTTTTCAAATTTTTCTTTCAAAGTTCTTGCTGCTTCGCATACAGTTCGATGTATCTCCATAGGATTATAGACAATTTCGAAATATTTTTGAAAGGCTCGAATTTCCTTGACATGAGTAAATCTACCTTTTTTGACATGTTCCTGCACAAAGGAAAAAGTTGTCGTCAGTTGTTTTTGAATTTGGATGGTGCTGAACATATTCTTCGAATAATAAGCCGTCCACCAAGTATAAAAATCTTTCGTCATGTAAAAGGAAGGAGTAAAAAAGACTAATGAAAAGTCAGCAAAGCCAGCATATTTCTTTTGTCGAGTTTCGATTTCCTTGAAGGAGTAAGGCACCCCTGCTAAGCATATCTCCCTTTTCTTGTTGAAGAGAGGCTCAGGTAGAATCTGGCATAATCTGAATTGACGAGCCACAAAATTAGGTTGATAAGCAAGGATACACACTTGGCTCTTCACAAGCGTGATCCTAGAAATAATAAGCCTAGGGTTTAAAAAGGCACACCAAATGTCCCTAATTATCTCTTCTTCAATGGCTTGTTCAAGGGGCATGGTAAACCAGATTGGATCACAATTTCGATTGGCAAAAGGGGCCATTGAAGGGTCGAACCTATGTCTTTTGGAGAAAATCATTGTATAGTTAACAAAGCATGTTTTGAAATTTTCTCTTTCATCGTTTGGGGTTAGTTTTAACAGCCTAGTGCCTTCAATGCTTCGATTTACAACGTCAGGATGTTCTTTGTTAATAACCCCAAAGGTTGATAGGGATGGTTCGAAAGTTGCATTTAACCAAAGCTGCAACAGCCAAAAGGGGCCAGCAAGAAGCATATTAGTGCCAGCTTCGTAAGTTTTCAGTTTCGAAACTACAGCACCTATGCTTTCATATAAGCTTGTTAGCAGTAACTCATTGATGCATACCCTTCGACCATGATGAAGTTGATTTGCAAGGGTGATGAACCTGCTAGCAACTTGTAGAAACTTGCTGCAGAAGACATATTTTGATAACCATAACGCCAGAAAAGCTATATGTTCAACATCAGAAACCTCTTCCTCAGCAGAGTGATAGAGATTGATGTATTTTGAAAAACTGGCATTCTTGACATCGAAGTCAATAAGGTTATCCGCATCTTCATTTGGACCGAAAGTCTCCCCAATAGGGGAAAGTCCAGTGATGGCAGCAATGTCAAAGAATGTAGGTGTCAGCATTCCACAAGGGAGATGGAAAGTATTATAGGTGTTATCCCAAAAGTATAAAGAGGCTAGCAAAAAAGGTTGGTTGTAACTGAAACCTAATTTTGACATTCGAATCAGGTTTAGAATGCCTATACTTTCCCATTCCTGGGATTTCTTATGTTCAACTTTCGAAAGCCAGTCTTGATATAATTGATCTGATGAGGGACATGAGCGAAAGGGTTTGGAATTCCCAGTAACATAGTCCATGCAAAAAGCGTCCCTCGTAGGTTGTGACGTTTCTGTGTCATGTGTTTTCTCTTTTAAGGTTTTGGACAGTTTAACAACCGATCGTCTTCCTTAAGTTTTGGAGAAAGGGATTTGTTAACAATGGGTTTGGTTTTTGAATACGCGGGAAAAAGTCCCTTCGTTTTTTCTAAACGTTCCGTTGAGATTAGATGACCCATAACTCCTAGGGTTTTATCAAGAACAGTAGTAGGAATGATTACCTGAGAAGCGTAGATAGCTTTCTGTTCTTGAGTGAGTTTAGGGGTTGAAATGAACTCCTGATTATCAAGGTTGATAATCTTGCTTGCTGGTGTAGGAATGGAGGAAGAAGTTTGCTTGGACTTTCCCGACTTCTTGGACGAGGAAGGTAGCGCTGAAGACATTGTGAAAATAATTTTTTTTTTTGATATTTGAAAACAAGAAATCTAGTTGTTTGAAGAATGAGCAAGTTTAGAAAAGTTGAAATGAAGAAGATGAAGTATTTTATAGCCTTCCTCAACAGTTTAATAGTTTTTGACCTTTGGAAAAAGGTGGATTACGTGTAACTCCCTCATTGGAAAGAGAAAAGGTGGATTTTTTGAGCTTCCTAGGGAAGTGATGTTTTTGCTGCTAATTATTAGCTATAACTGCTGTGATTGCACGTTTTGGTTTGGTGATTGGACGTTTTACAGAAAGTTGGACACTTACTCTGCCATCGTGTGCAGTATAGTCATCATGAGTTTTTGATACTCTCAAAATAGCCTGGATGAGTCAAAAACAAGTATTTCTTTATATCTATCGAAATACATGTTCTTGAGGGGCAATTTGTTAGCTGACTATTTCGAATAAAGAAGAAACCACTATCAAAATAATATTTCGAATAAGTACCTAAGGAGATTATATCAATATTAGATATTGGTGGGAAATATGGAGTCATTGTACTGAAGGATTATTCAATTTCCAGTGATAGATGATGGATTTCGATTTGGATTTTTTAGTGTTCAAAATATAAAAGAGTTCCTTTATGCAAGGGTGCCAGATTTGGAAACGGTCCAGGAAATTGGGTTATTTCGAAAGCGACAAAGAAACAAGATGCTTCGATTGGTACAGATTTCAAATTTCAAATAGGAGCGCCATTCTTAGAAGACGCGTGGAAGTCAGTAAACATAGGAAGCCTGCATGCTTCGAACGTGGCGTGATTTTAGAATAGGACCGTTAGGGTCAAGACACTATAAATAGGTGTTCTTATGTTAGATTTGAAATGTTCATTTTCATGTACTAAAAGATCTCAAAAACACTCAAACTATTGTGAATTAAGGGAAACGAGTCAGAAGATACAATGTACGTATTGAACATCATCACTCTTTACAATTTCAATACAAGTCTTGTTGTATTTAGTTCGCTATTACAGTATTTCTGCCCTTAAATCCTTCGATTTCCTTGCATTTCCTTGTTTTACTTGCCTTTAAACATAGTTATTTCGTTAGAAACTTCACTTTTACATTATCCTTTATTTAAACACTTCATATTCCCAGAAACTGTTATTTTCTCAGAAACTCCTTATCTTTACATTCAAGCATTAAATCCTAAGTCTAATTCGAAGCCTTCCCTTTCTACATTCAGTTAGTTTATTCTTGTAGACAACTTTAGAGATCTTTCTTAAGAATCTCACATTCGAACTTATCATACAATATAAGTTTATCAAGATAATGGGTATGATCATAGAAATGAGTTATGACACATGTGTTCTAGGATCAATCTAGTCGATCTTGCAAGTAACCAATAATAATCAATAAATTGGAAGACTAGCGATTGTTTACTAGAAATCACTGTAAACATATACGTCCATTCGCAATGACTCTTTTCTCTAACAATGGTACTTCGAGTTTGTATGAGTAATTTGTATAAAGTGAATACACTGAATCCTAATACAAAGCTCCATATTTATACTAATTCGACCCTAACGGTCTTTCTCTACAAAAGTGTCATGTTTGAGACTTGCATGCTCCTTCGAATCATCAGACTTCCACGCGTCCTTCCAAATAAGATCAAACTATTTAAATTCAAATCCTTCTTCAATTTGAAGCGTAAAAACAACGTCATGATGTGTCGAAATGATTTAAATTCAAATCTTCATATTCCTTTCAGTTCCATATATTCTGCAACAGAAGAACTTTCATGCACTATTTAACATAACCAAAAATACCAATAGTCTCGTCAGTCGAAGACCATATAAAATATTCTCATAATTCTCTACAAAAGTATTTCTTCATTTTCTTCAATGTCATATATAGTCAAAATTCTCAAATAAGTCAAGTTAGATAGATTACAATTTTGATTGTAATGTAGCTAGAGGTGTTCATTTTAAAGTTTATTTTTTACGGGAGGTGTTTATTTTAACTTGATAAGTGAACTATCCATAACTATATCCACATTTAATTGTCGAGCTAAGATTTATATAAAATAAAAATAATGAATAAGTGTGATAATAATAATGAAACAAAATATCTATATCCACTGGTATAAGATTCGTGGATGAATTTGGTCCGAAGGTGTAAGAAACTACTTCATCTGAATGGGTTGTTGTTGCGACGAAGATGACGGCGACATTCTCCGTCAACTCATGAGTTCTAATTTCGCTTCTCCTTCATCCGCCAATAGCTCACCTTCTTCAACCGTAATCTCACCGATGAATTCTCATTTCTCCGCACTATCCTCCACCGACACCCTCCAAATCATCTTCGAGAATCTTCCGATCCCCGATCTCGCCCGTTCCAGTTGCGTCTGCCGAGTCTGGAACTCAGTAGCCTCACAAAGAGATATTGTAACAAGAGCTTTCTTAGCACCGTGGAAATTGAAGGACGTAGTCGGAAACCCGCTCTCTAGAAGCTTCTGGAGAGATAATTCACTTGCCAAATTCGCAATCTCGCATCGAATTATGCGAGGGGACAGTGTCGCTAGTCTCGCCGTCAAGTACTCCGTTCAGGTCTGTCTGCTACTCGTTAGGGTTTATTATCAATTGAAATGCAATTATGACTCTCAGTTGTCCATTTTAGTATCAAATTGATTCATCCTATATTGATCACTGTGATCAAGTTCATATTTTAGTCTTAGATTATGTTTGGATATTATAAAATGAACGGAGCTGAATGGAGTCGAGCAGATTTGAATGGACCGGAATGGAGTGGAGCTATGCAAATTCCGTTCCATCTTAGAAATTATAAGACGGAACAAGGCAAGTTCTTCCTTCCGCCCAAATTGGAGGGGTAGAAATTCGGAATGGAATGACATCATTACCACTCCACTCTGCTCTGCTCCGCTCCATCCAATTTTAAATAATCCAAACAATGGTTTTCATCAATCCAAATAAATGGAGCAGAATAGAGTGGAATGCAAATAAATATTTCATTCCATTGTTTGGGTATTTCATGACGGAATATAGCAATTTTGTCATTCTGTCCAAATCAGAGGGTTCAAAAAGTGATAGAATATATTCCATCTGGTTCAGCTCCATTCCATCTATTTTTAATTAATCCAAACAATGGAACATAAATTTATACCGTTCTATCCCATTTCATTCAATTCAATCAATTCAGACATACCCTCAGGCTATGTTGGGATATTATGAAATGAATGAAGGGGAATGGAGCGGAGCGGAATGAAGATGCCATTCTATTGTTTGGAAATTTTAGGATGAAAAAAAGTAAGTTATTCATAGGAGGGGAAGAAATATGGTGGTAAGTGACGGAATGGAATGGAATCCATACCATTCCTTTCTGCTCCGCTCCGCTCCATCCGATTTTAAATGATCCAAACATTGGCATATTATTTCATTCCATACCATTCCACTCCGCTCCATCCGATTCCATCAATTCAAACAAAGCCTTGGGGATATCTTTTAGAATTTATTAACTGCAGAACATCTACTTGCTTTAGAAACTTCACATCAATCCATCCTTTTCTTATTTTGTTCATGGTTTTTCCTGTTTAATAACACATGGAAGAATTTGATAAACTGTATTGACTTTCTGATGATAATTTATTTATACTATGACAGGTGATGGATATAAAACGATTGAACAATATGATGAGCGATCACGGCATATACTCAAGGGAAAGGCTATTAATTCCTATTAGTAATCCTGATATTCTTATCAAAAGAACTTGTTTTATTGAGCTAGATGTTAATGCTAAACGAGAAGTTGCAGTGTTGTACCCTGATGATGTACCAGACATAAAGAGTAGCTATGTATCAAACAGAATATCTTCAGAAGAAAGCAACAAAAAGGTGCTTGACTCCTTGAAGAGAAGCATGCAAGTTGATAGTGAAACTGCTCAATACTACTGGTCTGTTTCAAATGGCGATCCTCGAGCTGCTCTTGCTGAATTTTCTTCGGACCTCCAATGGGGTAGGCAGGTAGGTCATTCCTAGTTTTTGGAAGAGGTTAAATTCAAGTTCAACCCTCGGTGATAGGTAAATGGATAATAAATAATCAAGAATTCAAGATGTTGGGTCAGGCAATTGTCTGGTTTAAATCTTCTATTCTGTTAGCTCTTCTACATTGGAGACTTGAAACTGGAATAAGTGTATATATATAGTTCAACTACTATTGTGGTGAGATGTGTTCAAAATTTGTGTGACTTGTAATTGTTTATAAGTTTGTGTTCAGCTACCATAATATATATATACACACACACAAGAAGACAAGGTATTATTTTTAAAACTGAAATTGAAACTGCATGTTTAGTACATAATCATTTGATTTAGATCACAGTTCACACTTTACAGTTTCAGAGCATTCACATATTTAGTACCAAGAATAGTAGTGTTTAACAAAAACAGTGGATACCAGGAATATTGTTGAGTTGTGCTTCTTTCCTATCTTCTACCCCAAGTATTATATTATGGTAAGTGTAGAACTTAACCCTTTCTGAATCGTACCAAGTAAGTTTGTCTTGCTACCTCAAAGATAAGGATGTATGGCGAATCAGAATCTACTTTTGAAACGAAATATTTGATATTCTGTTTTCATCTTGTCTTTTTGGAATAGTTTAGAATTACTTTACTGCTTTCTATAACTATGTCTTGTGCTGTCTGTTGCAAGAACCTTCGGACTGAGAATGGGCAGTGTGAACATCTTTTCAGGCTGCACATGGTGTTGGATTCCGAAAACTTTAATGTCCAAGGATTTGTATTTGTAGGCTTTGAAAATTTTAGAGCTTCTCAAAACAACTGTTGTCCTCGTCTTGATATTATAATTAGAGAGATAATTTAAAATTTCATTTGACACATGCTGTTATGACTGATTTAATTAGATACACAGGTAAAATAATATTTTTATCGTTAATAGTTTAATAAGCTACTAGTCCTTGCTTAATATGGGCGAAATTAATATTAAAGTACTAGGTATTATTAATCATAGAAACAAAAAGTACTAGGTATTGAAACATTAGAGAACACAAATGAAATGAGCATGTGAAATAGGAGCATTGAAACAGTATCATGAAGATGTTAGTATCTTATCACAAATCAACGTATGACCATGTGAAATAGACCAAGTTCCAAAATGAAGGCAAAACTATCAATCTCTTCCCACCGACCGAGTTTCGTGCACGGGGTTTCGTAACCTTACTACACTTCATGAATCAGAACAACAGATCATGTGTGAAATGCAGAATTTTACATAACCAAAAAGTCCAAAATACCATCAAATTTTGAACTTCCCAAATGACACCATTCTCTATCGATTGCACAGTTTATCTCATAATAACATGCACCACGGCTCAGATCACTGTTGAACAAAGCAGTGCTCAATGATGCCGTGTTCACTCTGTAATATGTACAACATGCTCCCCTAAACACCAATTAAGACTTACGAAATAACTTACTATTATATACATAATTCTGATTTACGAATAAAAAAAACTTATTTTTAAAATTGTAAAATACAAACTTTTATTTATATATAATTCTTTGACACCATGAATTGGATACCCTCTACAATTAATGATATGAACCCATTTTTCTAGCCAAATTTATTTATAAAAATAAGAATAAGTAAGTTATAGATACAGAATTTATTGTATTCGGTTGTTCTTAAATATTAGCTTCGGATATGTATTGATATTCTTTCTGTCTATAAAAGGCAAAGTAAACACAATTGTTTCACACATCACAATTCACAAACACTTGACATTTAACAGCTTTTTATTAAACAAACATTCAAAACCTTTGCTTCTTTCTTACTTATACTCTCTGTCTCTTTCCTTTGTGCCAAGGTTAATTACCGTTTTTGCATTTTTTTTTGTTGCTGAAAATGATTCATAACACTCGCCGCCATGTTGAAGGCACGGTTGTGTTGATGAAGAAAAGTGTTTTGGACTTCAACGACTTCACAGCCTCATTTCTTGATGGTCTTCATGAGTTTGTCGGTAAAGGAGTTTCTCTTCAACTCATTAGTGCTGTTAACACTGGTCCAGGTTAGTATGTTCTTCCTTTCTTTCTCTATACTTTTCTTGATGAAAAAAGAAACTACTTATACTGTTTTATATATTTTTCTTTTCGTTTTTGAATGATATTCTAGAGAATGGATTGAAGGGAAAACTTGGAAAACCTGCTAGTTTAGATTGGATTACCACATCCTCACATGAATCTCTATCAACCGGTGAATCCGCATTCAAAGTTACATTTGATTGGGATGATGAAGACATAGGAACACCAGGAGCATTTTTAATAAGGAACAATCATCACAGTGAGTTCTACCTCAAAACCATGACACTTAAACATGTTCCTGATCATGATGATGATATCCACTTTGTCTGCAACTCTTGGATATACCCTGCTAAAAACTATCAAAAAGACCGCATTTTCTTCTCCAACAAGGTATATCTTCCAAGTGAAACACCAATGCCACTGCTCAAGTACAGGGAAGAAGAACTAGAGTCTTTAAGAGGAGATGGGAAGAAAGAGCCTGAAAAGTGGGACAGGGCTTATGATTATGCATTGTACAATGATTTGGGAAATTCTGATAAACGTCCAGAACATGCTCGTCCAATTCTCGGAGGGTCTATCGAATACCCCTATCCTCGTAGGGGAAGAACCGGTAGAAAACCTGCAAAATCAGATCCTAATTATGAGAGTAGGCTGGATCTTGAGTTGAGCTTAAAGATCTATGTTCCGAGGGACGAAAGATTCGGTCATTTAAAGATGTCTGATTTTCTTGCTTATGCATTGAAATCTATAGTTCAAGTTCTGAAACCTGAACTGGAATCTCTATTTGATAGCACGCCGAATGAGTTTGACAGTTTTGAAGATGTACTCAAACTCTATGAAAGTGGGATTGATGTGCCAGAGGGTTTACTTAAGGATGTTAGGGATAACATCCATGGAGAGATGCTTAAGGAAATTTTCCGAACTGATGGCGAAAAGTTCCTCAAATTTCCCATGCCTCAAGTGATTGCGGTGGATAAATCTGCATGGAGAACAGATGAAGAATTTGCTAGGGAGATGCTGGCTGGTATAAACCCTGTCATGATCTGCAGTCTCCAAGTAAGTTTGTGTTTTCTCTTTTAATTTTTGAATTAAACTTTCTAAAACATTTTTGAAACAATATCATATCTTAATGATAAATAACTGCAGGAGTTTCCACCACAAAGCAAGCTAGATCGTCGATTCTACGGTGATCAATCTAGTAAAATAACCAAAGAACACATTGAAATTAATCTTGATGGGCTCACTGTGGATGAGGTAAAATTCAAGCTAATAATATATTGTGTTTTCGCAACAAAATTTACTCAATGTTAGAATGTATGATATTTATTTGTTTTTAATTGAATAGGCAATTAAAGAAAGAAAATTGTTCATATTAGATCACCATGATTCCCTCATGCCGTACTTAAGAAGGATAAACTCCACCTCTACAAAGACATATGCCAGTAGGACTATTTTGTTCTTGCAAAAGGATGGAACTTTAAAGCCACTAGCCATTGAGTTGAGTTTGCCGCATTCAGAGGGAGATCAATATGGTGCCATCAGTAAAGTTTACTTGCCTGCAGAGCAAGGCGTTGAAAAATCCATTTGGCAATTGGCCAAAGCTTATGTCGGAGTAGTTGACTCCGGCTATCATCAACTTATCAGCCACTGGTATGAGTTTATGGCGCTTAATTCTAATCGAACTTAGTCTTGGTTTCATATCTCATTGCAATTAACTTTTTATATCTTACATGTATGACAGGTTGCATACTCATGCTGTCGTTGAGCCGTTTATCATAGCTTCAAATAGGCAGCTTAGCGTGCTTCACCCGATTCATAAGCTGTTGCATCCTCACTTTCGTGACACCATGAATATAAACGGACTTGCAAGACAGATTCTCATCAATGGAGGTGGTGCTCTTGAGTCAACCGTTTTTCCATCGAAGTATTCTATGGAGTTTTCATCCTCTCTCTATAAGGATTGGTCTTTCCCCGAGCAAGCACTTCCCGAAGATCTTCTCAAGAGGTAGTAAAACCATTATCATTGCAAATAGCTTTATGTTTTTATTTCATTTTATTGATCAATTACTTCATCTTTGCATTTTTTAGAGGAATGGCGGTTAAGGACTCGAGTTCTCCATATGGTCTTCGATTATTAATCGAGGACTACCCTTACGCGGTTGATGGACTTGAGATTTGGTTTGCCATCAAGACATGGGTTACGGACTACTGCACCATTTACTACAACGATAATGACTCGATCAAGGAAGACTCGGAGCTCCAATCTTGGTGGAAGGAAATAATCGAAAAGGGCCACGGTGACAAGAAAGACGAGCCATGGTGGCCAAAGATGCACACACTTGAAGAACTGATTGAAGCCTGCACTATCATCATATGGATTGCCTCAGCTCTCCATGCTGCTGTCAACTTTGGACAATATCCATACGGAGGCTTTCCGCCAAGCCGTCCTTCAATGAGCCGACGACTCATGCCTGAAAAAGGAACTCAAGAGTACAATGAACTTGAGGAAAATCCTGACAAGGCATTTCTGAAAACAATAACTTCACAATTTCAAGCTGTTCTTGGACTTTCACTTGTGGAAATATTGTCAAGACATGCTAGTGATGAGGTCTACCTTGGAGAGAGAGACACTCCACATTGGACTTGTGATGTAATGGCATTGAAGGCTTTTGAAAAGTTTGGAAGTAAACTTAGTGAAATAGAGAAAAGGATTGAGATGATGAACAATGATGAGAAACTTAGAAACAGATATGGTCCAGTGAAGATGGCATATACTTTGCTTAAACCTAGTAGTGAAGGTGGATTAACTGGCATGGGGATTCCTAATAGCATTTCAATTTAATATGGCTTAAAAATAGTAGTATTAGTCGTAATAGTGAAGTTGGATTAACTTTAGTTTTTTCGTTTCTCTTGTTTAAAAATAGTACTACTAGTAGTAG